AATGTTATCTTTAAACATACAGCGTGCCCCATAAGAAATGTATTCAAGAACCCGAAGACGTTACATTTGAGTAACTACCAGGAAGGCCGCGCCATAGCTCAAGCGGTTAGTCGCTGGCTTCCCACCGCTGCGGCCTGTGTTCGAGCCCGAGTTTGGTCATGTGGGATTCGTGATGGACAAAGTGGCGCTGGGGCAGGTTTTCTCCAAGTACTTCGGTTTCCCTTGCCAATCTTCATTCCACCAATTGCTCCACAATCACCCTCACCTATCATCTGGGGCTGGTACAATAGGTCAGAAGTGGCCGCAGTACAAGGGACTTAGTCCCACCCCACTAAGGAAAAAACTACCAGGAACAAAAAACCATAGTTCTTAATTTGCAGCGCAGACTTTTCTTCACGGCCTCGAAAGATTGTACACAAAAGAAGGCCGTCAGGAGCGCATCCGTTAAAAACATCGGGTCATGGTTGCATCTTCTCGTTCAACGCATAAAAATACATCCTCACATATCTTCTACGATTATGTAACTTTCTGACGTGCATTTTCATTACATACAATACAATATCTAGATGGCCCCATACGGCAAGTAGTTTTTCCTGGGAATCCAACAGTCGCTCAACCGACAAAAAAGAAATCTGCCTTTTATGAAACCCCAAGTTTCACTACCATGTACACAACAGCCTGCCAATGGACCCTATCCTGAGCCAGACGAATCCACTACACACTCTCATATATATCATATATTTTCCTTTTAGGCCCAATTTAAGCATAATCCTTCCATCTACAGATCGTTCTCCTAACTGGTCTCATTCCTTCGGGTTTCCGATAAAATCTTCTGTACGCATTTCTCACGTCTCTTGTGGGTGCTACATATCATTCAGCCTCTCATGTTACCAATACCCTGCTCTACAACACCCTCAATGTACACTCTGGCAGTTCATCGACGTTTCGGAGGAATCAACTGCATCCATCTTTGGGGTCTAAGACTAATCAAAGCAAGTAACCTGCTTGCCGCATGCGTCCTGCTGATTACGTGCTTAGTTTAATCTTCACCCCTCAAGACGGAGGCAAAACTTTCCTCCAAAATGTGAATGAACTTCTACGAGACTACATGGGGTCATTTCTTAAAAGATTAGTACTCTTGCAATTACTGGGTGTTTGGACTTTGTCCACCGTACGGTTTCAAAAACTCAATCTGTTTCCGTCCTCATTTTGGAGAGAAACACTCTGTTGGATCCCTCAGAAGGAGCCAACCTCAGTCACTGGACAACCCATGTCAGCATAACTGCAGGTACATAAGTACTTGAGACGGGCCTTTGTCAACGGGTGATAACAGGAAAAATGTGAAATACAAATTGTGATAAAGCATGCACAGACTTGAAACTAAGACAGAAAAGGAGGTGAAAATTTTATGAAACAAACCTAGCCAACAAACCAATGCACAGCATTAATCGGAGATTGTTGTGAAACAATTATGTGCCTACCGCTAGCGCCACCTGTGAAATAAAAATGAAGTGACAGGAGGTTGGAGAAAACTGCATAATGAGGAGCTTCATAACTTGTACCCTTCTCCAAGTATAATTTGATTGATCAAGTCAAGGAGGTTGAGGTGGGCAGGTCATGTAACACAAATGGGGGAGACGAGGAATGCGTACAGGATATTGGTGGGAAAGCCAGAAGGAAAGAGACCACAGGGAAGACCAAGGCGTAGGTGGGTGGACAATATTAGAATGGATCTTAGAGAGATAGGATGGGATGGTATGGAATGGACAGATCTGGCTCAGGATAGGGACCAGTGGAGGGCTCTTGTGAACACGGTAATGCACCTTCGGGTTCCATAAAATGCTGGGAAATTCTTGAGTAGCTGCAGAATTGGCGGCTCCTCCAGAAGGGCTCAGCTCCATAAGTAAGTAAGTAAACCCGGGACTAAAATCTTGTATAAGCCAAGGGAAAATCTGTCACATCATACAGATATTCCCTGTGAGTTGCTAAGCTTATTGCTGATAAGGGGTATCTAGATGGGAGAAAAGTCCAAACTGGACTGGCTCATCGGACTGGTTAAGCATGCCATATGGGCCAATTTCTTGTACTTCCTGTACCTGCTGTTACTTTCAATTTCCAAAATCCTGCCTTCATCTCAGCCTACCCTACGACCCTCCTCATAGGCATGTTGGGCTAATTTTGTGCCTATATTCACGGAGCCGCATGGCTAGAGGTCTCCCTGTTTCGCCAATGTACTCTTCACAGTCACTGGTGTCAGAAAATCAGACCGAAGCCCCAGGCTATTTTCTTTTCTTAACGTAAGAGGTCCAAGTTTCCCACCAATACAAAAGACGTAAATGTTCGTAAGTGCGGGACCTTATCTTTCAGCCGGCCGTTACAGAGTAAGGGACGTGGTTTGTTTGATGTTAACAAAGACAGAACTTTATCTAAGAAATTTACACTCTCCACAGAGAACAAATGTAAATACATCTTGGACCATATGCTGTAGTATGAAACACTTGCAACATATCACAATTATGCACAAGCAGTTCTGGTTAAGCATCAGTCTGACCCGACTGGACGGTAGGTGGGTGACTTCGTTTCCATTCTGAAGGCTCCATATACACCCCTCAGAAATACGTGAAGCATCTGATCACGACTTGAACCTTCTGTGTAGAGCCAAGGAAGGTGAAAGTTGCCGAAGGTATCTTGTTACAGACAAATTGCAGTTCGGCTGTCAGCTTGTGTTCTGGGCCGTTACCCCCTGTAGTCTTCTAGAATGTTAGCAACGTTTAGAGGTAACTTACTGCCTCCATCTCCAGAGTCGCGCGGGAAAACGAGGTGGAGAGAAGAGGCTGCGAATGAACCAATGAGAGACGCTGTCCCTTAAAAGGCACGCGGCTAATTACTGTTCTCTGAAGAAGCTGCAGATGTCTCCGGTACTTTATCAGCTTCTTACAGACTACACGGAGTAACATCTGAGTCGCGAGAGCTCAGTTGGTATAGTGACTGGCTATGGGCTGGATAACCCAGGGTTCGAGTCCCGGTAGGGTCAAGAACTATCTTTTTCACGTCGTCCAGACCGACTCTGGGGCCCACCCAGCCACCTCTCCAATGGGTACCGGGGGTTCTCTCCACGGTGGTAAAGTAGCCGGGGCGTAAAGCTGACCACTCACCTCGAACTAGTGCCGAGGTCAAGAAAACGTGGATCTATACATCCACTCCTCCATATGTCTTCATGGCGTAGTGCTTAATTAGTTAAGCACAGGGACAACTCTACTTTTTATTTTACTTTACTTACACAGAGTAACATACCAGAAAGGGTCGCACCATAGCTCAAGCGGTTAGTCGCTGACTTCCCACCGCGACGGCCCGGGTTCGATCCCGGGGTCTGGTCAAGTGGGATTTGTGGTGGACAAAGTGGCGCTGGGGCAGGTTTTCTCCAAGTACTTCGGTTTCCCCTGCCAATCATTCCACCAATTGCTCCACAATCACCCTCACCTATCATCTGGGGCTGGTACAATAGGCCAGAAGTGGCCGCAGTACAAGGGACTCAGTTATTGCTAGTCCCACTAGCAATAAAAAAAAGTGGTCAGTATCTGAGAAATAACTTCCTTAAAGCCTTCCTATATAACCTGATTCCTCACACTACTCAATTTTAACACTGAAGATGGAGACAGTATGTTCCTCTGAAATGGTGTCCAGCTACATGACCGCACAGTATAATAGCGCAGAAGACCATTATCTGAGCACTCACCTCTGTGAAAGCCTCAAAACCTATCTAAGATTTTGAATGCTGTAAAAATGTGAACAGGTTTTAAGCATGAACAGAATATATGTGTAAGAAGAAAGCTCTAGTGATGCAGCATTTAAATCATAAGCATTCCTCCTTAATAAGAAAAACATGTGGGAGCAAAATCTCTATTTTTTTTAAGTATCTGTGAGGTTAAAACAACACATCAAGCATGGCTGCCAGATTTTTTAATTACTTACAAGCCTAAAATGATGGCAGGAATCAATGAACTCTCACCATCCAACTTGTGAGATAATCTTGTATTTTAGCGTCCTGTTGCACTGATTCTCATCTGTGATATGTATATTGGCCATCTTGTAGTGCACTCAATCTCACATGTTTCGGCATCACTGTGCCATCCTCAGGCACGCTCACAGCCACAAAAGGAGGGACACATCACAAGACACAATATACACAAAACTATAGGAAGAACGACTCCCATAGTGGAAGTATGACGTAGTACGCGAGTTTGAGTTAAGATGTGTAAGATGATGGATATTAACAAATTTTGATATATATAAATTTTATTATAGTTAGTGAAGATTGTGCATTTTAGATAATTTTATAAACGACACATGATGACGAGCAATGCAATAGCTTGACGTAAATAACACACCTGAGGATGGCACAGTGATGCCGAAACATGTGAGATTGAGTGCACTACAAGACGGCCAATATACATATCATTGTGAGATAATCTGTTACAACTTCTAACTGTGCAGTGTGAAAGCTTATTTGCCAGAACAAGTCTGCATGGAATTGCATTTTCATTATATATTGTTACCCTGGAATACTAGCCAACTATGGGACTCGAGCTCCAGTGCATGTCGACAGCATTTGTTAACCCTTTATGGCACAGCGGTTATCCTATGTACCACATGACCTAATATTCAAAACACAGGGCATTTATGAATTTCATATGATTTTCAAAATTAACAATAATTGTTTTCCTAAACAGCATTAATCAATATCATTCAACTGGCCTTTGTAAAGTGTGTTTCCTGTGAGGTAAGAACTGAGCTTTTAAATATTATTTGGAAGAAATTCGTGCTTTACAGGTTAATAGAAACGTTGTTAATATGGACAGGTACACTAATTTTTATAGCCTAGATTTACCCAATGCTGCTCTCACATGGTATATGAAACATATTGTTTTATTTATATACTACAACAATTGCTTTCATTTGAACAAAATGATGAAAACTGGTAGCTGTGTTACTCTACTCACATTGGTATGAGGTTGGCTGTGCTGAACAGGCTGACGGGGGTTCCGAGTAGCACTAGTGGGAGCGGCAGGAGATCGGCACAAGCTAAACAAGGGACCGCCATGCTGCACAGGAGCTGCCTGCTGTTGCATTGTCACTGAAATATCACATGGTGATTATCACCACCTCATAACCTATATCATCCGGAAATATTGGATTTCAAATCTCCCTCTACTATGGAGCTAATGACCAGAATTTAAGTTTCAAGTAAGCGTATTATTATTGGAAATATGCAACGCAGAGCTATCTTGAGTGTGCACAGGTTCTACTGTAAGAGGACACTGCACAGCCAATAAAGGTTAACATTATTCAGCTTCCACTGAGATCTCCAACAGGACAAAAGAAAGTTCAATCATTCACTGATGCTATGAAGAATTTTGTAATTTCAACAGATCTGAGTCTGTAGATTTTGATCCACTAAAATATACAGAACCATGACTTATCTTTTGTTTTCTTGTAAGTGTGAAACTGAAGAAATGTCCTAAGAGACAGGACATAAAAAGGAACTTCATCATTTGCGCTCTTCACTAAATCTTACTAGGATGATCAAACCAAAGAGAATGAAACTGTATGAGTAAGCATGCATGGATGCATGTACATTTATCATCACATCAAAATATTTTTGGATGCAGTCAGGTTAACTTCCTTTCCCCTTCCCCTTTCCTCCATCATCATCACCATCATCATCCACTTCAGCATTAAGCCCACCAAGACCTGTTATGGATATCACAAAACAACATCCTTCCAACAGTAGAGGTGTTCCCAGACTTTTTCTGATTCTATTTGTGTAATACCTTGCCAGCAGGTGGCTGCCTACCCCCAAAGAGTGGCAGTCTAGTGGTAGGATTGCTACCTTCAAGCCCCTGGAACTGCCTCCAAGCAATGATGTATGGTAATAGTCATGACACTGTAACTTGGACATCACAGGTCATTTGGTGAGAAGAGTATGTCAGGGAAAAAAGAGGTTTGTGACTGGGCAACAGACACTGCATTTACAATGCTTTGTTATTTATTATTTCCAGCAGTCCTAGAGAAACACTAGCACTAATAATGTTTGTACATACATTTCCCAGAGTGTAGGAGCACAAAGCTTACAGGCACTGTATTGGACGGTTGATGCATGTGTTGGTCCAGTGTTATGAGTGTAGTGAGCACCGTGTTTATATTGGTGAACACACAAAATTAAAATTATGCATTCCATTCATAAGGCTTCACAAAACTTGGTCACTTACTGTCCATAATACTTTTAGAGAGCTGAGGTGCTCAAGGCAGTAAATATTAAAACTATGGTCTAGAGAGATGCCATGGTTTCAGAGGAAATGGAATCATATCCTGGAAGCCCATAATCTTAATTATAATATCTGTGGATAGATACTTGCTGCTTCCTTGCTGGTTTGTCTTATTCTATCACCTTAAATATGAGGGCTATATGTTCCTCTAATATGACGCTAACCTTCTACCAGACTGTACGACATCACATCCCAGAAGATGGTACATGTCTCACACTACTTTCTAATAGCATTCTAAGACAGAAATTCTATTCCTTTGGAACCTCATTCAAAAGACTACAAGAAGATATGAGGAATATTAATAATTAGGAAACAATGATGATGAAAATAATGATAATTACCATTGCAGTAGTGGGGGACAAAGTTGCTCGCATCTGTGACATTCTCTAAGTCATATGTGTCTCCTAGGTAGCGCAAAATGAGCAACAAATCTGGCAAAGCTTCTCAAAAGAAAAGTGCAAACTTCGTCAAGATGCAACAAAGCAAGCTCTTGAGTGCTCTCTATTGGGAAACAAGAAGCAAAATGGGTTAAATGATCCCAAATGCAGCCATTGGAAACCAACCAACCAACCAACCAACTGTTGCAGTAGTGGTGGGATGAAGAACTTGCTGCTCCTAGCCGATAACTGCAATGTTGTGTTCACACTTCTTTGAAGATTACTGTTTTCTAGAATGTCTTATACCCTGAAGATGCAGGCAGAAAGTTCCTCAGAAACGGCACATTTCTTCAACTACATGGTGTCACACCATGCAGAAAACAATAATCATCTCATTCTACCATGATTTCATTCTTTCAAGTGGACATTTCCGGAACAAAATTCTGTATGAATTCCTTAATGCTGCCAACTTACTAAGATTCTCAGTATCTTAAGAATACTAGGCAATCTCTATGATCCCAGACTTCCTCATTATGTGCACGTGCACATGTTAATTATGTTGCGTACCCAAGATTACAATTAATGCTGCAATATAGTCCTAATCACATTTCTGGCAAGAGAACTATACTGTTTCATATCATCATAGTAATAAAAAATTATCAAAAACTCTTACAATTTTAAGTTCTTAAGAACTTCCATTAAATGATAATAAAACACGAAAATGTATGTATCTGTAAATACAATTTTTTTTAATTATGTTTTGCTTTTGCTATGGCAGGGTTACAATTCTTCCTTTGAAAAAATGACTGGTGGGAAGCAAGACTGAAAGGATCGAAATCACTGCTTTGTGGTGCTTATCTACTGTAGGCATAAATCCTTTCAGTTAAACCTTCCTGATTCTTCTGAATCTTTCTGACTGTATGTTTTAGAGGAAAGTTAATAAGCATTGTGGAGATAAAACATCCTCTCATTTTAACACATTTTTGGCATGACACAATTATTTTCCTATAAAATCTCTATTAGACATCTACATCTGATATGCAAATTATACATACTTCAAACAACTCACAATTTACTTCCTTACTTACTCATGTAGCTGAGCCCTTCTGGAGGAGCCGCCCATTCTGCAGCTACTCAAGAATTTCCCAGCATTTTATGGAACCTGAAGGTTCATTAGTGTGTTCACAAGAGCCCTCCACTGGTCCCTATCCTGAGCCAGATCTGTCCATTCCATACCATCCCATCCTATCTCTCTAAGATCCATTTTAATATTGTCCACCCACTTACACCTTGGTCTTCCCAGTGGTCTCCTTCCTTCTGGCTTTCCCACCAATATCCTATACGCATTCCTCGTCTCCCCCATTTGTACTACATGCTCTGCCCACCTCATCCTCCGTGACTTGATCATTCTAATTATATTTGGAGTAGAGTACAAGTTATGAAGCTCCTCATTATGCAGTTTTCTCCAACCGCTATGTTAGGTGGGTCCCTTGTCACCACGGCACGGTGCATCCTCAGGTTGTGGATGGAGGAGACGCCCTGCAGTTTTGGTGGGAAGCTGTGAATATATTGAATAAGCAGTCGCAGACAGCCGACAAGGGGTGGCCCTCCAGCTTGGGGGTTGCGCGTGGGGCTAACAACTCCTCACCGTAAAAAATAAGTATGTTACGAAAATGAACACAAAGCCTCGAACCTGGACGGATTCCTTGGATAAACAATTCACAATAACAATTAAAATTAAAACTGAAAATACAGGAATATAAAATTAAGGAAATATGCATCTAAAAAGAATGGAACACTACCAAACATCTAAACAGGCTTAAAAATAATAGTCTTGTAAGACCAACGAAGAGATAGACCAGATTTGTGTGTACAAAAAGACTAATAGGTTCCAAATTACATAATTAATATAGATTATAATATTTTGTTAATTATGAACTGTGTTTCCTCACTTTGACAAACCATATTTTGTGTAAGATTTGCAATGTCTACCATGTGTTGATTCTCAGTATACTCCACAAATTTTACTTCAATGAGTCACACCAATTAGCTCTGTACAGCAAAGTCAGTATTAGTACATACATAGACAATATATTGGAATTCTGTTTTCTGACATTCCTTGCTGACTGTGATACTGATTAATGGTATCTTTCAGAAATCGGATGCACTTTACCTTACCTAATATTCCAAGAACAGAAAAAAGTCCATCTATAAATAAAAAATAAATACATTTACCCTTGTTCAATATAATGACAATCACATATAACTTATGAGTTTTCTATTGTGAATCTGAATGTGAACTATTCCTTTACCAATCTTATCAAAACACTGCAAAGTAACAACTGATAATAGTTAACAAAATTATCAACATTCTCTTCTCGGAATTCCAGACGAACTATCTTAATTTTTATCCTACTGTATAAAGCTTATTTTATAACTATTCCTTTACCAATCTTATCAGAACATTGCAAAGGAACAACTGATATTAGTTAGCAAAATTATCAACATTTTCTTCTTGGAATTCAAGACAAACTATCTTACTTTTTATTCTATTGTTTAAAGCTTATTTTATAACATCATCACATTCTATCAGTTCCATGAGCTGATATTAGCTGGACATTTTCTACTGGTTATACAGGTACTAGTTGTGCACTTCATTAGCTCTACACCCATTCCAGGTGGGAAATGAGATATGAATTAATCAGACAACAAACGGTACAAGGTACAAATTCACTCTCGCATATCACGCTGAGATGGCAGATTCATTTTTGCCATTAATTAAAAAAATAAGATTATATGTCACATGGTTTCCATTTCACTTAACTCACTGGTATACACTGACAGATGCCAGATATCTTAAGACCAACAGGTGTAAAAAAGATACAGAAGTAGGGGTGTTACCTTCATTTTGACACCTTGTAGACTCTCTCCTCCACCCTACTTCAGAAAGTAAATGCCAGTATTGTTCAGTAAGTTGAAGTACTCACACTGTATGTTTTACTATAAAGTAGAGTTGTCCCTGTGCCTAACCAATAAAGCAGTCTGCTATGAAGACATATGTGGGAGTGGATGTATTCTTGACATTGACACCACTTGGAGATGAGTGGTCAGCTTCACGCCACAGCTGCTTTACCCCCAGGGAAAGGGCCCCTGGTGCCCATTTAATAGGAAGCTGGGTGGGCCCCAGAATCAGTCTGCATGATGTGAGGAGAAGAAATATCTTGTCTCTACAATACTCAAACTCAAGCCCCTCAAGTGTCCGGAATTATTATGTTCACTATGTCTTCTGACATTCCCACCGCGGCGGCCCGGGTTCGATCCCGGGTCTGGTCAAGTGGGATTTGTGGTGGACAAAGTGGCGCTGGGACAGGTTTTCTCTGAGTACTTCGGTTTCCCTTGCCAATCTTCATTCCACCAACTGTTCCACAATC